CAATGCGAATCTTTATAATTTAAGTTACAATTCGAATGCGCGGGACTTCTGTATCGACCGGTCAGCTGACAATGGTCGCGTACTCGCACGTCGTCTGGCTCGAACGGTCCTTTGCACACGTGACAGTGCGTTGCGCTGTTAAACTTTTCCCACTCGTCTTGCGTGAAATCTGCCATGGGTATATTAGTGGACAATATAGTTTTTACGTCGTGAGCTAAACGTCTTAGCTCCTCGGCGAACCACGCGACGCAATCCTTATCGCGACGAAACCGATACATAGATAACGACTCGTCGTATGAGCAACGCACGTAGTACCCTATGCTAAACACGCGATGATGTTGATATGTGTACCTGGACGTTTCCGGATCCGCTTCCATCTTCTCCAGGGTACACTCCAGGTCGGCGTATACAACAAACGGAACTCGTTCCTTCCTGTTGTGATTTTTAAAGGCCAACCACTTGTCGTTATCGCTCGGTAACTTGATCGCGCAGTCATTCATCTCCTGACAGTCGACGGTGTGGGCAGCCCATTTCTCGTTGGAGCTGAAGTAGTGCAAACATCTGCAAATAAAATAAACGCAAATATTATAAATTTTTTATACACAAAATATTCTATATATTATTAAAAAAACTATAGGTACTTACCGATCGCAAAAGTATTTCTGACCATGGTGTCGGTTGATTTGCGAGCTCACGAGGCGGGATAGGTTCTTGATCCACGCAAAATGTCCCACGTTATCGTTATGCACGTACAGCAGATTTACGTGTCTGTCCATCTTTCGGTCAGTAACACGTATTGGCAAGATAACAAGTTCCTTGTTTTTTTTCTCGATGCTGTACACGTTGATGGAGATGTTGTTCTGATTTTCAAATTTTTTAATTTGATCCAACGTCATTGGAAACTTAATGTCAGTAAGATCTAGCACCGACGTGTAATGAGGATACGACGATTTCCGATCTGCGTGTTCCTCAACTGGATACAGAGCAGCCACCACTGACCATGCGAAACATGCATTGTCCATTGATAGCACATTTATCACCGCCTTCTTCTTTTTAATTTCTTGCGGTATTTCCACAAAACACCCCGCGTGCAACGGATTGTATTTGTTCACGTTTACCATTAAATTGAGTATACGCGACAACGCCTATCCGCTATCACGTTCCTGGAATTCCTCCAGCTTTGCTAAGGTAGGCTCGATGACGTGTTGCTTGTACCACTCGTGCAGATCGGACTCACGAAAGAGTTCATAGCTTCTCGTTGCGATACTTTTATTTGCGCGTTTGTCACCCGCAACAAATTCACCATTAAATATTGTGTATATTTTTACATTGCCATGTCGTTGCATGACGTTCTGCACACGATCGAGTACAATGTCTCCCGCATCTTTGAGAAATTGACGAGGGTCGATGTGTTTGGAATTTATTACCGCACCTGTCAATATACGAATTTTAAAAGCCGTATCTATCTCGCGCCATCTGAGTCCTGTCGCACTCTGTATCCAGCACCCACATGTACGAAACGTTGACGTACCGAGTCTTTCAAACCTTCGAGTCTTGCGATACAAGCGACCAATGACTGTTTGAGACCGATCGATGACTGATTGATTGATAATCGTGGCCGTTTAATTCGGCTTTGTTCTTCCAACGATTCGATAAACTCGTCGCATCGTTGCTCCCACGCGGCAAAATCTTCCCTCGAATTTAACAGGGTGGATTGCTCCAACAACTCCTGCTCCATGTTATTGCACGATCCTCTTGCTAACGCCATTTGTTGCACTCACGACTTCCAGTTCTCGACTATTGAGCGTATCCCCTAGATTCGTCATTTTATATTCTATTAATGATGCATCGTTTGCTCATCATATCTAATTTCATCTCAGCAGCCGTACATCGGCGCTATTTGCAAAATTTGCAGTTTTGCACGTGTTCGATGAAATCATTGCGAGACACGTACGTTCACGAAAACGCACCATTGACTTTTGGTGATTTGATCTGTATCAATGCAGCAGCCGTACATCGGCGCTATTTGCAGTTTTGCACGTGTTCGATGAAATCATTGCGAGACATGTCGCGACATGTTCTTCAAAACAATAACGCTTCATTAAATTATGCGAAATTGCAAATTTTGCAGTTTTGCACGTGTTCGATAAAATCATCGCGAGACACGTCGCGACATGTTCTTCAAAACAATAACGCTCCATTGACTTATGCAAAATTGCAAAATTTGCAGTTTTGCACGTGTTCGATGAAATCATCGCGAGCCACGTATGCTCTTGAAAAGAAATCATATTTGATGCCCGATGAGGTGATCTCATCACGAATGTTCTTGACAAAGATATCACATTTAACGTATATGTGGATTGTGGTGGCGGTCACCATGCAGCAGCCGTGCATTGGCGCTATTTTTGCAAGATTTGCAGTTTTGGGTATGTATAAATGGTCTACGTGGATTCTAGAGCGCAGTCGAGAGTTCGATACGGTTCGAGTACGTCGCAATAAACAGTCTCCAGATACGATGAACACTCACGGTGCAAACTACTACGTTCCGATTCAGGACGAAACGTGCGAGAAACAGCACAATGAGTAAGTACCGCTAATTTTCATATATTCTTGTGCAAAAAAAAACTTTTATAAACATATAATTGTATTTTTTCAGTTTTGATAAACCCCGCTACACGCCACGTATTTTGGGAAGAAGATTTGCCTTGACATCAACAGCGTATAAATTTTTGGATGTTGGAATCAATGCGGGACCTATGTCCTCTGTGGATATACTTATTGGCGATAACCGAGGCAATCGGATAATTCTGCTACATGCAACGTGGGTGACATTCATCGAAAAACGTGCAGATATACAGCGCATCGTGCAGTCATCGGCACCATCATCGCTAACATTTCGAGATCTGGAGCTTGTTAAAATACGTGACGCAGATATTGTAAAATTGACGTCGTGCGGCACCAGCTTGTACATGAAACCGTCAACTGTACTCTTCCTGTTCGAACTAGAACATTGTGTCGAGAATGTGTATTTTCAACTATGTCAAAATGTTCACGGCGTAAGTGAAAAATTCAAACAATTTGTAACAATTTTACGTCAAAATTGTATCACTGATAAATGTAACGCAGTTACAATCTTGCGTGACGTTTATGATAAAAATTCAATTATTGATTGCGAATTATTAGCCTACGCTTTGGATACTATTGTGTATAATGCGCTACACGATAAATAAATGCATATAATATGATTAAAAAGTTTTTCCTTTTCATTTACCGTTCATCCCATTTCCTGTCATAAAGCTGTCTTCGTTTATCGTTTACTTAAATGTAATATTAAAAATTAAATATTGCGAAAATCTGAACGATTAAATATCGTTGGCGAAGAAAAGATACGCGATCGCGAGCGAGAGGGACCGCGCGCAAGAGAAAGAGACCGCGCAAACGGGGGGACGGGGACGCGAGACACCGCGCGAACGAGAAGACTCGCGCAAACGGGGGGGACGGGGGCGCAAGACACCGCGCGAACGAGAAGACGCGCGCGACCGGGAAACGGGGGAGGGACATCTACGAGGGGGAGATAACGCGAGCGTGCCGTGTGACGTCACGCGGACTCCGCGGCGCGGCGAAACGCGAACGCGAGTCCCCTCGCCCCGCGGCGCGGCGGAAACGCGGTCGCCCCGCGGCGCCCGAAAACGCGGATCCTTTCACCCCGCGGCGCCGGAAAACGCGGTTCCCCCCTTCTCCTCCACCGCGGCGCTGGAAAACGCGGTCCCCCCTTCCCCTTCCCCCGCGGCGCCCGAAACATGCGGTTCCCCCCTCCCCCTCCCCCGCGGCGCCC